TGCAAGGGACTTCAGGAGATCACACATGACAACCCAACGTGTGGAGGCAGGAACTACACACGCCACACACGCTCCTTCCTCCAGCAGTGGTTACCTAACGTCATCTTTGAAAATTCTCCATCACCTCCACATAACTGCAGCTTGCTCCTGCACTTCAGCCATGCTCTGTGAGAAGCTTTCCCTCTTTTCCAACATAAATCAACTTTGCTGAAAATTCAGTTTATTTCTTCTTGTTTTCCCACAGCAGCCATGCTGTTGCTGATTACACCATCATTATTAATTTGCTTTTAAGAAAAAGGGTCTAAGATATATTACAGCAGCAGGATGAATCCCAAGCTCATGATTAATCATCCTATCTGCCAGTTCCCAAAAGGACAAGTAGCCCTTAAGGAATGTCACAAACAGCAAATATATTTTCTCTTTTCTGGGCTGACCTGATAATTTAAATCTAATGTCAAAGCAGATCTTCTAAGGACTAGACAGCCTAGAGGCAGGAAAAAAGAAAAAAATTAACTTGAAGAGCCAGAAATTTCCCAGAAAGCTGATCGTCTGTTTGGTTTACTGAGTTGCAGTCAGTTATCAATTACACCTTTTAGTAGAAGCACGAGAAGTCTAAGTCTGAACCAGTTACATTATAGTATCACAAATGTATGAAAGATACTAACGCTTTTCATAAATCTAAGAAATTTTTTAAGTTTGTTTTTTAGGTTCCAGCCACTTATCTACATACAAGAAGTCCAATTTCAAAATTATTCTACAATGTTGGTGCATCTAATTCCAGGTAAGTCCAAGCACTTCCCCATCTTTAACAGAGCCTTCCACATTATGCCCCCAGGAGGGAAGTGCTACGATTACCATTTTTCTTCCAAGGCAAGAACAACTGAGGTCACCCAGTAACTGCCAGCGCCCCAGAGTCTCACGTCCCACGCAAGCCTAATCACTGGAAACATGATTTGGAGGAAGTAAGTCACTGTTAGAAAGCTGTCACAGCACGCTCAGGTGGAACCAACAGAACACCAAGGAGCACAGACACATCACAAACCAAACGTAAACAGCAAAGGCTGCCCATCAGTGAATATTTTGCAGGTTCCTGCAACATAAGAAACTCTTCCCCATCAATTATTGCAGTTATTGCAATTATTGCTCCAGACTTTTTGGAGGGACTTGAAGAGAACCTCAGCTTTGAAAGAGAGCACCAGAAGCAAGTAAGTTGATTCCATACTAAGTACACTGTTTCCACGGAGAACAACAAATTTCATCCCCTACAATCTTGTAATCAAACTGTATCATCGCCGCCAGCCAAGCTATCGTAAGCTCAATGCTGCCCTCAGCAGACCCAACAAACTACTACAGGTAGGACATGACTTTCGAATTGAAAAACCTTGTTGCTGATTTGCAGCTGTAAGTCCATCTTCTCTGCTCCTCGCAGCTATATTGACCAGGCAGAGATAAAAGTGGCTGCGTAAAAGCCACATTATTTCACTTTCACAGAGTGCAGAGCACAGGGCCACCTCATCTCTTGACAGAGCTTGCCCGCAGCTACGGTAGCTATATGCACACTTCCTCCAGCTGCCGGGTAAGTGAGCGGTGACTCACCGAACGACCGAAGCGCCTACCAGCAAACCAAGCTACCAGGACTGCTGACTTTTCAGCAGAGATAACTTAAACAGGTCAACATATATTGTTCTAGAACCCGTATCTCATTTTAATTAAGACTAGACACTTCCACCTAGCTTCAAACTGTAATTACAGCCAAGCCTATTAGGGCAGATAACAGCGTACTGCTCGACACGAGGTGTGGCCGGCGGTTCACCCTCCACCCACGCAGGGTATCTCGTGTACTTCCTCCTAGGGCTGTCCCCACCGCAGGGTTCATGCGGTTGGTGGTTCATACCCGAGCGCAGCCAGCCAGGCTGCAAGGCCCAACTCTGCCCTCGTTAGCGATTCATTTACGTGTCACCCGTGCTAGGTGGGGGAGCAGGGTGGGGAAGAATCCTGTAGTCTCTGCTGTGGTTAGCTCCTGCTCTCCAAACACACCGGGGGGACATACCTGTCCTCTGACTGCACAGCAGAAGTGGGACACTGGGGAGCTTTCTGCACGGCCTGTGCATTTTTATAGAAGAACTGTGCACTTTTATAGCAGGAATTGTTAAACGAAAAAAAAAGCTGCCTACGAAGCGCTATCTATACAGCCCCCAAAAACACCTAGCCTGGGTTTAAAGCAATATGATGCTATCACACCTACTTTACAAAGGATGCTACTCAACCATTTGTACAGCAGCAGCCGAGTTCATTCTCAGCACCAAGATAATGGCCTTAAACATAAATCTTGCATGCTTCCTTAAAACCTCCAACCCAGACTACGCTGTACTGTCACTTCAAAACAAACCAGTGGTGTAAAGTCGCAGGGACTCCCTGGCTGTACTTGCATTACTTCCCAGCCTTCGAGTGGGAGCAGGAAGCAACTTGCTTAGTTACACCGAGTGCAACAAGGAATTGGGAATATTATTGCCCAATTATGACTTCTTTTAAACCGCATGAGAAATCAGACTCAGACAGTGATCAGCCCACTTGTTACATCTCGAAGCAGACCGGTCCTAATGTGTTGGCTACCACACTCACTGACACTAGTCAGAACAGGGCATGCCTCACCCCCAGCCCCTGGCAAGGTTCAGAGAAGCACACATTTCCTCCAAGATCACGTAGAAGGGGAGTCTGCCCTCCTTCTTCGTCATTTTCCTCTCGAGATGGAAACTACTCCTCCATCTCAGTGAAGGAAGTTGAGCAGGAAGAAGAAACAGCATAGAACCCTACCTCCAAGATAAAGCTAACGCTGTTTTAGCTGGTGGAGGGGTGGTAAGTATGCTAGGTGGTTCTACCTGTTGACACATCACTGAGGACTGAAGATACTAAGGTAGCAATTTTTCCTAAAGTTTAAATCACATTAACACATGGCTTTAGTTACAAATGCAATCAATATTAAAGGTCTGTACCAAGACTGTAAATTCTGAGGAAGATGCACTTTTTGTTACATGGCCCAGATGACAATCATCGACTCAGCAAACTCAAGGCTTTTACTGAGCATTTAAGATAATTGTCATCAAGTTGCTTTGGGCACTCTCAGCTGGAAGGTTTTCTAGAAAAATCTTCTGCTTCTCCTGAGGCAGAGCTCCAAGAGCGCTTACTTTGCTAGCGCAGTGGAAAGATGCCAGTTCTGGATTACTACAGTGGAGAGCAGCTACAGAGACACTGTAAGATGATGTCAGGACTCATAGCCATCTTCACACACACAAAAGCCTATATGAAAAATACAAACATTAAAGACTTGGACAAGACGAAGACAGATTGTTTGAACAAGCTTCAAAGCTTTTGAACAAAGCTTCATCATACTGGCCTGTGAGGAGAGGCACCATCGCTGCTTTGAACAGGCTCCCCAGCTCACCGAGGAGTCCCTGCCTCGCACAGGAAGATAATGCACGGCCCTTGCTCCCCCTCCTCTCTACTCAGAGCACCTGAGACTGTCAGCTTTACACCAAGTCTGGGCACAGTTGTACACCCTGTTTCCCTGAGCCAGAAGGAGTCATTCACGACAATTCAGATGTGGCTATTATGTTTAGAATAACCAGTACCTCAAAAAAAAAAAAAAAAAAGAGAGAGAGAGAAAAAAGGCAGCTTGTCAGTTCAGCCCACTTTAGAAGAAATTGAACACAGACTAGTCACCGCCGTTTGGTAATACAGGTATCTATTTTATTAAAAAAGTTACAAACAGGTGGACTGTAGGGTTGTCTTACAAAATGACAAGAATGAATTCTACTGGAAAAAACTTTTTACAAAGCATTATAGGTAATTGTTCCATTTTTGCACTTGTTATTCCAGATTTCACCTATGACTGATAAAGATACAGTACATTAGATACATGATGTTAGGTTACATTTTTATTTGTAGAGCCCTACTGCAGTGATTTGAACAACTCCTAAACAGATGCCATAGTAAAGACAATACATATTGCATTTATTATTAGCCTCTTACTCTAATAAGCAACTTCACATGCAATCTATTGAGGAAGCCTAAAATAACTTTTGGTCCCTTTTTCCCCCCAAAGTGTGCTGAAGAAACCATCTCTCGTTTTCCCAGTCCTGTCACTCTAAGCTAGTTCAAGTTTTTTAAGGTTTTTTTTTTTTTTTTTTTTTTTATGCTGAGGTCAATGAAAATGAACACTGGTTTGATAACTACCCATAGGAATGAACCACTGATTAATACCAACCAACTTTTTTCCCCTTAGAGAAAGGAAAACTAAGATCTTTATGAATTACTTGTATTTCCTATTACTTCCTTACAACCTACAAAAAAGATCAACAACCACCACTTAAAAAAAAAAAAAAAAAAAAAAATCTACTTTGAATACAAGGTTTGGTTTAATTCTGATATTAAAGTGCAAACCTAAGTATTAGCCTCAGCCTGTTTATGAAGTTTGTACAAACAGGGGAAAAAAAAAGTTTCAAGTAACCCCACAGGAAAAAAAAAAAAAAAAAATCAGGTGTTTCAATACCCAAGCAGAAAACCTGGTGTCCTCTTCTTTTAAGGATTCAACACTGAATGTAGACTCAGAATCTTTATTTCTGCTAACACTGTAAAGTCAGCCGGCATTATTACCAATAAAACACATTAATGTTGAGATACTGTACCGGTGATCTTTTATTGTTTTAAATGCCATCATCCACAATACAATTCGTGAGTTTTAAACTGCTTAACCTCATATATCCATCACTGCTTTTACTGGAGCTTTTCTCAAAGTTATTTAGCTATTACAGGGAAAGAATGTACATTTCTAGAAGCATGTTCAAATGACTAAAGCTGGGCTCCTAAAAACCTAGAACTTTGGTGCAGTAGGTGAGCTGCAGTTAAAGGTTTGGTTTAATTCTGATATTAAAGTGCAAACCTAAGTATTAGCCTCAGCCTGTTTATGAAGTTTGTACAAACAGGGGAAAAAAAAGTTTCAAGTAACCCCACAGGAAAAAAAAAAAAAAAAAATCAGGTGTTTCAATACCCAAGCAGAAAACCTGGTGTCCTCTTCTTTTAAGGATTCAACACTGAATGTAGACTCAGAATCTTTATTTCTGCTAACACTGTAAAGTCAGCCGGCATTATTACCAATAAAACACATTAATGTTGAGATACTGTACCGGTGATCTTTTATTGTTTTAAATGCCATCATCCACAATACAATTCGTGAGTTTTAAACTGCTTAACCTCATATATCCATCACTGCTTTTACTGGAGCTTTTCTCAAAGTTATTTAGCTATTACAGGGAAAGAATGTACATTTCTAGAAGCATGTTCAAATGACTAAAGCTGGGCTCCTAAAAACCTAGAACTTTGGTGCAGTAGGTGAGCTGCAGTTATTAAATTTCTGCAAAAAAAAATTACACATTTTAAACCACTGCTAGAAAAAGCTCTCATGTATGCAACATGTTAATAAAACTGAACAAAAAGATTTCATCTGTTCTTTGTACATTTTCATTCTGCTCTTTATACCTGTGTTATTGTTAAAATTTTCAAGTATTCAAAGAAAATGTTGATCAGGTAAACAGTAAGGAAGGCAATGGCTGTTTAAAGCACGCTTGCAGTTAGTATCACTGAAACCTGGTGCTTCTCCCCTTGTTACACCAACTTGTCTCTAATATTAAACTTGTTTATTGGGAAAAAAAACAAACTAAAAAGCAATTTGTGACAGTGCAAGAAAAACGTTAACAAATATTGCTTTAAAATATTATTCAGAAAGACAAATATTAGGAACTATAAAATGTAAAGTGATCTTATTTGCGTTAGATTTACATGTGCAGAGGTCTACTAGATGTCTCTTAATGTGCCAGGCAAAGCTGAGCTGACTGACTAGGCATACAGCCCATTTTGAAGGATACATTATCCCTTTTCAAAGGCAAAAAGAAGCTATTTGTAAACAAGCAAGTTTAGAAACTCAGTAGAAGGAAAAGTGTGCTGCCATTTTTCAATGCTACAATTGTCATTTTTGATTAAATGAGTTTAAGAAACCCATGATTGCAAGAAAAGAAACATCAGCTGGAGACTTTACATCCCATTCCAAATAATCCCTATTGTCAAATCAGACCAGTTACAAACACAATATCACAGCTGCATTTGCCGAGAAAAGGGATACTACATCCATACAACAGAGGTGCCTTCAGTATCTTTTATGACACTGTCACACGTAAACAAAAAGTCTCAAAGAATGACCAACTACATTGTAGGAGAAAATTTTGCAAATAGAAATAAGCACTGATGCGAGGTAATATACAGAAGTAACCATTTGTTTAAGGCTCAATTTATTCTCCATTAAAACTCTCTTCTTTTAAAAGGCATTGAGTAGGTAATACTGAGTTTAAGTATTTAATAAATACAAGTTCAGAAATTGATTAAAGAAATCAATTAAAATATTAAAAATGAACTCTTGCATATTAGCCATTATATGAACTTAGAAAGCTATAAAAGGACTGATAGATAAAGAACAGATTTTTAAACTTATGGTAAACATGCTAAGCATTCTGATTAAGGTGTGTGGATCCTGGAGGCCACCAACCTTATGCACTTAGATGTATGGCAATGTGCTGTAATAGAGACAGGTTTACCAAGGCTCAGCTCTGCAACCTGGGCTGAAAGTTCTCCAAAGCAGCATCTGTGCAAGTTTCCTCTGAGTTTTATCTGCAATTTAAACAAAATAACTAATGAAAGCCATATTCAATACACATTCAAAGTGAACTCAGCTTCTCCCACAGTAGTTTTTCATACTGAGCTCCAAAGCACTGCTTTACACAGCAGCATTCTTGAAGTTCTCCTCCTCTAATTCTGGTAATACAAGAGGCAAGCAGGTAACAACTTATTGCTATGAACTTTGAACAGCTGCCCCTGTGGGATAAATTGCTTCTAAAGATCTGAAACAGCTAGGAAATTTAACTTCCCCTGTACAGAGATACATACACTAGGCTTTGCATTGGTGGTAAGGAGGCACTACATCACCCAGTAACATGGAGTAACGGCATTTTGCACAAGTTCTGGGAACAGGTAGATGAGCCAACTAATTCAGTTTTGACATCTGAATTCTCAGCATTCAGATCCTCTAAATTACTACTAAAAAAACCCCCTTAGCATTCATCAGTCTTAGCCTCAGCAGGGACATAACTGTATGCCACTCTTCTCAATCAAGCACACAAATGTAAGTAGTGTTACCAATGCAACCAATGCATCTTTGTATTTCTAACGCTTGCACTTCACAAGATTTATCTGCAGAGATATCCTGAAAGCCTCAGTCGAAGCTCAAAGTCTGTAGAAACCTGTCCTTCCTATGCACAGGCATGCACTTCATTGAAACTTGATGCTTGGCACCTCAGGAATTTTGATGAGTGTTCTCTATTCTTGAAGTCATTTATTCGTAGGAGTCCGGACCTTACGTTTCGTACTGTACCATTTCTTTTCAGCTGTTCATTTGCTCTCAATTAACAGTTTGTCACGACAGAGTGCTCTGACATAGTCAGGGTTCCCCTTCTTGCCTAACAACTGGTCACCCCCAACATTCAAGACCAGTACTCCTGTACTGACAGGAGCAAACAGCCAGGTTTTGCTTGCTTGCATGTTTGTTTGTTTTCCAACTAACAGTAATTCTCACCCACTCTGGTGAGCGTGTGTGTCCCCACACACTGTTGCTGGTCCAACAGTGAGTTTTAGATGGGGAGGGTCCCTGTACTGTCAAAACAGCAAACATTTAGCTTTTAATGGGAATGGATTACACCTCCTTAATAGGTGTTTCATCTTTCCTTAGAGCACAGGAGAGGCAAACCATTTACAGTGCAGCTCCTCATCCTACCAGAGTTAGATCTATCCCAAAACTTCACCTAAATCCAGCATCCAGTGCTGTGGCCAGCAAAGAATTGCTGGAGATAGTAAGAACAGAGAAAGCAAGTAATGGTATTTTCCTCCACATGCTCTTTCAGCATCCTTGTATTTGCAGGTTAGGGACCTCTCAATTCAGATTTGTCATGTTTCCATTTAACTTGTGCTTAGTTACTACAATTAGCACCATATAGTACCTTATCTGGCTTTACTTGCCCAAGAAATTTTTATAGCACACTCTATTCTCTTCTGCGAGCAGGCAGGAGAGAGGGGGACATTAGACAATCTAGTAGGATAAATTTGTCTGTGTCGCATAGCCACACAGACCAGAAGACAGTATACTTTCAGTTTTTATCCCTAGAGCAGAGTACTCTTCCTTCAGCGCTTGCCAGTATCAGTTACTCATGAGTGGAGGGAACAGAAATGGCTAATCAGCATCAGTCTTTCACCCCAATATTAAGGTGTTCCCAATCTGATCAGTACCTCTACAGAAAACCTTTAATGCACCAGCACTGTAACAGGTGCCATATTTTAAAGAAGATTTAAAATACAAAACACTGCCATACTGAAAATTCAAGAGAAATACTAAAGCAAGGAACAGAGAGCAGCTACTGGAAATCCCACATCTCTGAATGCAATAATGAGATGACAGAAGACCACTGCAGAAGCAGGAAAGGGGAGGGGGGGAAACAGGATGCAAGAACAACACACATTTTTAAAAGGAACTATAGGTTATCCTGATTATGTAGTTATGTTCCATCCTTCATTTCACCCAAGGTGGCTGACTGGAACAGTAATTTAAGTAAATGCTACTCGAAAATGTCATGAAAGAACCTACACAACATCATACTTGACAGACAGGCTGAGGTATCAGTACCAAAAAGAGGTAAGTGGTAGCTGCTAGTTAAAACTGACAATGAAACAGCCTTAGACAAAACCAGGTCCAGCACATAATCCACCGCCCACCCCTCCCATTGGTTTCTCCATCAGAACTGTAGAGACACAAACTGTTTCTACGTACTTCATTCTGAACTAACTGATCCAGACCTAAGACTCCTCCTGGACACAGACAGGCCACAGAACTCAGAGACAGATGATGAAGATTATGCTAGGACAGAGCTATAGTTCAAGCCCACTTCCTACACACGGGTTTTCAGACAGCTGGTTCCACTTCCTCAGTTTCACTTTACCTAGGAGGGGTCACTGCTAAAGCAGATGTTTGAGAAGCAGCAATTGTTCCCCGGATCACAGATAAGCAGAATAATTACAAAGCTGATTACAGCTATCTCAAGACACCATCAGCAGCTCTCCTACGCTACAGCACATCAGACAGAAGTTATCAGGCAGCAAAGCTTATCATAAAGTTAATGAGATCCTATACCTACTCAAAGAATAAGGACAGAGTGGGAGCCAAGAAGAAGAAAATATCCCAAAAGTGTCAGGCTGAAATGAAAGATACAGAGCATGAAGCCTGTGAAAAGCCAGGACGAGTAATAAGAAAAGAAGTTCCAGACATGGTAAGATCTGGACTGAATAAGCAGCTGCTTAGGAATGAAAGACTTACTTGTTTGGCACAGGTGACAAGACTACATTGGGCAGAAGCAGCATCTCCTAGAAGCAAGGAAGTATTTTGCTGCTAAGGCTTGATGTGACACTATGAGCTAGGCAGAATGAAGGAGCGGAAATCTGAATTACAAAAGCTTAGGATCCTCTATCTCAAGAGATGACAAGGACGTAAGAATACAGATGTTTCTTCTGAAGCAAGAGCATGCTTAGGAAACTCATCAAATCTAGACATGTTATGATTCAAAGGAATAACATATGGCCCTGCCCCCCGCCTCAATTTCACCTTTAAGATTAAACTTGATATTGAATGCTAAATCCAGAAGCAGCCAGGTTACAAAGAAGCCTCCCTTAGAAGTAACCAATTCTGGAAGTATAAATTTCATGGATAAAGGACCTGATTTTGTCAGAGTTGATGACAGCAACCTGCACAAGATGAGCCACTAGTAACCCATGGAATTGCCATAACCTTTGGCACGATAGTTCCAGTCCACATACTCTTATTCGTTAAGCTGCCTTAGAAATAGCTGAAACATTCCATCACTATACACGATTCAAGATATTAACCCTACAGCACTCCATTAAAAAAACAGTAATTCCTTTGGTTTACTCCTTCCTATAACCCTATAAGGCTCTGCATGTGTTAGGGATTAGTGTACAAGGAAAGACTATTTGTATTTTTCTCTGCTCCAATACAAGCAGTTTGCTTGCCTTTCAGCAAGCAAATCTTGAACTTACACACACCTCTTACATGGTGACAGCAGCCTTTCCTTATTTCACAGAATTGGAGATAAAAACATCATGTATTATCTTTAGTATGACAGTGCTAGGGTCATGAGTGTCTAAAATTTTACATTCACAAAGCACTTGATAACAATCTCAGACAAGCTTTGAGACTTCACTCTCTGACCCTGCACTCAAGATTAAAGAGGATACATAGTCCAAAGCTTCCCGTAATAACCTATTTTCCCTCTTGTCACTCAGACACAAAAAGCTCTTTTGACTCAAGCAAGAGTTACTAACATGGCAGTCAGAGCCTAAGCCTCAATCAGTGCAGCTGTCAAGAGGGGCAGTTCTTTCCCCTGAATTTTCATGTCCTCCCTCATCCCTGCACTTGCCCTCAGAGATCACATCGGGTTGTTTGCCAAGACAGGCCCAACAGACAACTGAAGATCTGATGGACCAGATGGCTGCATGCAGAGCGTACCAATGATGTAGAAGAGCCCGTTTCAGCAACACGGATTCAAGCCGATGCTGAAACCAGACCTACAAGGGCTACGAAGAAAAACAAGAGCAGGGGGAGTCCAGAACCACCTCGCACAGGAATGACAGAGCTGCTGTGTGCGGGGGAGGAGCAGAACCATTTACACCATCAGCTGAAAAAGGTACTGAAAAAGACCACTGTCGTCTGTGAAGCGCCAAGAGCAGCTATCCTTGCAGAAAAAAGTAAAAATCAAAGCAATACCCGAGACAGGGGAAGCTTTACAGAGGCCCCTCTGAACACTGCACTCTTGCCACACCTCTTATGAGTCACTGGGAAAGGAAAGAGTCGTGCATTGGGAAGCCATTTTATAGTGTGTTCTCTGCTCTGGAGATTTTAGATGAAAAGCACTTTGCACATGTCCTTGACTAGTACATGTGGGCTTCATGCCACTCCTCACAACTCAGGGTGGTTCTTTTTTAAACTTATTCCACTGATAAGGCAGAAACGTACTCGAAGTACAGTCAGTTTCTGTACCATAGAATTTTTTTTTTAAACAAGCTCTAAGTTTTCTCAGCAAAACTACTGGGCAACTTGGTCACAATAATCCCATTGAACTCCAAGGTAATTCCCATTACTTGAAAATAATTTAGATACCAACTACAACCAATAACAAAACCCACTGCAACATCACAAAACGTTATTAAGGATAATGTAATGTCAAATACAGCACTGACAATCAAAATAGGTGCAGATGAGATCATACACTTTGTCTCATTGTAAAATTACCACAAGTAAATGCAGTGTTCCCTGACTAACCCTACTGAAGTAACGCTAGAAGTCCATTTGACTCAAGTAATCGTGTGCACAAGCTTCCATCTGTTTTGGAAGAAGGCTACCTCCAGGTTAGAAGGCTTAATTTCAGACTCCCTGTCACGCTTTATCTTCTTACTTAAACAGCATGCTTATGGACCTCAATTAGTTATGACTGTTCCACCAACCTGCTCTGTATGGCCATGATTGAGGTTTTTCTTAATTTCTCTCACTGGACGACGCAAGTTGTACAACACTGGTCTTGTTTTTCAGGCAGGGAGGCATAGTTCATTTGCCTGACGATCTCAGCAAACAGTTCATCCACCATTGTTTTGCTCTTGGCTGATGTCTCCATGAAGGGACAGCCCCATTCCTGAGCCAGAGCTCTGCCTTCTGCAGATAACACCTCCCTCTCCGACTCCAGATCCACTTTATTCCCCACTAGGATCAGAGGAACTTTCTCGTATCTCTTCACCCGGACAATCTGGTCCCTCATCGGCTTGATGTCCTGATCAAACAACCCAACCGGTTAGTATGTGTAAGTAATCACATGAAATTGCTATATAATCGCTACAGAAGTACATTTTAATAACCCTCACATGCAACCGAACATTCAAAATACATCAGAAGACTTAAATACATATTCATGCAGCCTGGAACTCAGAGAAAGCTTACTCCCTGTCTTTAATAAAAGTTATTTTTAATTTTATATAAATACATACACATTTTATAAAATGTATGCGTATATATAAACAGAAAGCAACTACTGTACTCTAAAAAAGACTTTCGGTTCAGTTAGAGGAAGATACAGTACAGCTACTTTGAAAGTTGATTTCAGTTCTCTGAAAAAATTGTCTCAAGTCTAACGACCTGTAACATTAGCAGGAGCATGTGATTACACAATCATTTAGGAAGCTTGTGTTTAGTTTACAGCTTGAGAAAGCTAGTAATTTAAATAAAGTTTTCTCACTTCTGGAATGCTTCGAATAATTCATTGTGAACACATTTAATCACATGTAAGTAACCAAAGTAGATGCTGTAAAGAGATTTTATTACCTAGAGATGCATTTATTCAAGTCTAAGCTAACATCAGGAGTTTACACTTGAAAGTCTGAGTCAACCTCCTCTGCTCCCTGAGCGTTTTAAGCTACTATCAGTACTACTAAGTTCTACAAATTCTTGCATAGTTCCAAGACAAAGCAATTCAAGCATTTGAAGTTACCACTGTGTAAAAGAACTGCAGAGAGTGGTTTACACCTACAGGCTTCAGAGTAAACATGCTATAGACAGACAAGAATAATTAAATATTAACAGGGTGGATTACTAACTGTATGTCCATTCCTCGAATAACGGGGACTCACTGGTCCCCAAAATAAGCGAAAACGAGGGGAGAAGCATCCCAATGTCATTGCTATTGTTTTCCAAAGAAAGTATGTCTTTAGCTTGTACACAGGCTATTTCGAGGCCTCTGCTAAGATAAAGCTCAGCCTTCAGCAGAGGCAAACATTCTGCTTCAGTGGGGGTATGCAAGGTTTTGCCAAGCAGCTGGAATACACCCAACCCAGCAACTGAAGCCAACGCAGTAGTTGCAAATCCCTGCGCTGCATGCAGTGCTGCTAAATCCACTTATTCTCCATAAATAAAGCTTCGTTTCTAGAGGCAGCTTAGACCAGTTACTGGCTGAGATATTTCCATTTTTTGGAGAGTTTTAATAGTAGAAATTAAATCCAGACCCACAAATTATCGCATATGGCTTGCTTCTCCTCTCCAGTACACCACCTATGCTGTGAAAGCATCAAGCTTATGCTGGAGAGAAATACGGGGGGGGCAGAAAATAGCAGTTTACTTAACAAGTCACAACTGCAGAACAATAAGCTGGTCTCTTCAAGACCAACTGAAGAAACAGGCCTTTTAAGAGGCAGGGGGGGAAAAAAAAAAGGGGGAAGTCTCGATTTTAATATCAAGTGATTTCTTCATAGACGGGGACTGCCAAAAGATTTCTGTTGGGGAAGTGGGAGTGGGTCATTGTTCTCCGACACTGCGTGGGATTTAACAATGGTGGCACCCTGGTAAGTACCTGCAAAGCAAGCAGTTTTCCATCAGGAAGCAGGGCTGGCAAACGCGCTTTCAAGAGGGGCATTTTCACTTTTGCCCCTTCGGAGATAAAGAGCTTAATACCCACACACGGCTAACCCTAAAACTCCCTCCTCGGCTCAGCGCCTTCCCCAGGGCAGGAACGGCTGTGTCCGAAGGGGGGACGCCGGGGCCAGCCGCCTCCC